CGATTGTAATGATTTTTTTGTATATTTGCTAGGTACGAGAATAGGTCGTAGGTACAGTATTTTTCACCCTCCTACTCCTACTCCAAGACGCAGGCGAAATTGTGCGGGTCAGCTAGTATATTATACTATTTTCTTCGCCATTCCTCACGCCGGAAATTTAAAGAAATTAACTAATTCATGTAAACAATCAATATTGTAAAACATGTAACGCAATTTTACGTTTAGTTATAAAAGTTGCCAGTTTAGTAATGAAGAATTGATTGATAAACTTTACGAGTAATCGCAGAAGAAAGTTACGAACAATAAATCAAAATAATTGACCAACAACACATCACACCATTACCGACACCATTCCGTAAAGCCTCAGGATCGCGTGCGAGCTTACTACGGTATCGGTGACCTTGAATCCTTACAACCTAGCCTAACTACTTTAAAACAACTTTTATTGCCAACCTATTGCTTGGACAACTTTCTGGTTAGGTCTAAATGTGCTGAATCAAGGTGACAAAACTTTTAAATTACCTATTATAACCTATTGTTTTGCTTTCCAAAAATCTGTTCACCTATATGAGAGTAGCAAATATAAACACTATTAATTAGTACCTAACTAAAAATGAATTATAAAACAAGATTTTTTTTTAAAAAAGAAAAGCTTGCAAGTCTTACGGTATTTGCTTAAGATGCCTTTTAACATCGCACATCTCAGATAACATGGCTAGCTTTATCTTGGTAAGTGCTCATTGGTCAAATCAAATAGCATTCTCGGCCTTCTACTGCACACTTTTGTCTCTTTTCACGAAAGCATTCCCACCGATTGCATTAAAGCAAGAAAACACCAACACTTCAAAAAATACTCGTATTATAATTTGCTTTTTACTAAATAGTTACGATTAAGGAGCAAGCACCAACTTATTACTCTTTATCAAAAACATAGTCATAAATCGTACGATAACCTCTTGTGATAAGAACATTGTAAAAAAAAATCTATAACTTTCAATTTCATTAGATTCCATTTCATGGTATTCTTTAAGCATTTTATCAAAATGGCCTACGATAACCGCTTTAGAGAATTTATGAACTTTTTGTTTGTTGTTTTGCACAAAAAATAGTAACAAATAGATATATTAATTTCTATTTGTTACTATTTTACCTTCCAAATCGAATATGCAAATGTATGTATTGCGATATAAGCAATAAAATGCTTTTTTCCGAAACTTTTGATACTCCCATATAATACTTTAAGGCTTTTCAATTTCAATAATGGTTGGTACATTATGCTTCTCCCAACAAAATACTGTATAGAGCGTGACGTAAAAAAGTAACTAAAATAAACCAACCGGCATAAACCAGAAACTTAATAATTTTGTAGACCAATCTGGGATAAAAAATAAAAAGAATCCGTTGACAAGTGGAGCAAGCAGTGCTTGGAGTTTTAATTAGAGAGCTACATATCAAACCCAATATATCCAGTATCTGTTTATTTATACACGTCGCTAGTCAGTTGCCAGCGATTGGAATACAAAACGTATGCGTAGCACCAAAATCGAGGGCGTCGTCTTGTTAGAAGAAGGCATGTAAATCCAATGTTGTACTAGAAAAGTTGTTATTTGATTGGCATTTATTAGACAAGTTTTAAGAGAAAATGCCCACTGGCATGCGTGACTTGTGCGATGGAAATGCAACGCTTTTGGATTTAAGACATTTTGAACAATTCTCAACACGAGTTGCGTAAGACTACGTCCCAAAAAACATACGGTACTGTTACATGATTTTTTACACGGAACGTACATCGTACACGACTGTATTAATTGGTAACAATCACTTCCGTCCAATTATGACAGTCACTTCCTATCAATGCCTTTTTTGGTGATACTGGAGTTTGGTTTTCCTACGTTAAACAAATAGAATCGCCAGCTTAAAATTGACAAAACTATTCATCCTGTAATCTAGAGCTATTGCGATGATAATGATGTATCTAATCACCTATTTTCAAGGCACATTCGGGTACGTTCGGAAGACTGTCGGCCCTAATCGGACGCTGTTGGGCGTTTGCCAAGCCATTCCCGCAGTTTGGACGGATTTAAATTTGGAACACTTTTTTTTCTGTACCCATAGTAGACACGTTTGACGAGGTGAACAATCTTTCCGTTTAGAAATATACAAGTCACTTGTACGCATATGCATAATATTTTTATTTGACAATTTTTATATAGTGACTCTAAATACGTAAAGGACGGTGCACCTCAATACGTGACACGAATACGTAGGATTATATCCTGCTTATTGTTGTACTTGATGATTCTACGTGCGTAAAGGTAACGGTTGGAAGAAAACGCATGTTTGTGTTACACTTTATGAATTGTAAATTTATCTTCCGTGTATTTTTATTTCGACCTAATTAACGTGACTTTATTGTTTTTCTAATTTTATTAAGGGATCTAATACTTGCAGTAATTTTATAGCACTTTAGGCAATCGCAAAACAAACATTTTATTAACATACACGGAAAATAGATGATAGGAAAAGCTTAGCATTTTCCTCAGTAAGAATATTCATGTGTCGAATATTACGCCACTAGTGTTAGCGAAATATATTTTAGTATTTACATCCGCACTTAACTTCTGCATCTAAGATGATACGTACTTTATGTAAATTTATTATTTAAATTAACTTTATTATTGTTTTCTTGTTAAAAAATATATAAACATCTCTTAAAATCTTTCTATTAATATATCCTCGAATGGTTCTTGAGGAAAAACTATGTAGGTCAATAACTACATGTAAATTAACTCTACGTACTCAGAATACTACATACTGTTAAGTACTTGTAATTTAACAGTTGATTCTATGTGTGCAATCAGAATATGTCGTATGTAGACCCCGCACAACGTGGAGCAAATTGGCAATTTGACAAAAACGCAACGAACCGTACCGAACAATGTACATGCACCTACTTACGCACGACAAGTAAATCAGAGCGGTGTGATCGTATAACGCCCAACTACAAATACTTTTTTACTTACCACTTAGGTTTCAAACAAGCATACGATCCGACTGTGTGTTATTTAAGTTTTTTAAAATTATTTTTAAGCTATTGCATAGCTTCTATCGAGGGCCTTGAGCGCGGGGACCGAATCCAGAAATTCCGTAACGAAAAAAAACCTCACGCTAAAAACAAAACAAAAACAGTACCAAAATCAAATGCTGAACGTCAAAGGAAATTTCGTCAACATAATGCAGAAAAATCTTACATGGATATGTAATTTGATTTAATAATAATATTTTTTATTTATTTATTTAAAAACAAATTGTAATATATGCTTCAATATTTTTATTTAATAAAAGAAAGAAAATTGTTTTCTTATCGGTCACCACGCTCAAAAAGTGTAACTTGAATTAATATCAAAGAAAACGAAATACTGCATAAATGAAATAAATAAATAATTATAATTGCATAAGTTGATACAAAATGCTATGCAATAGCTTTACCGCGGCAGTCCCCGAGTGCCACACGTCTTTTTTTACTATTAAATAAGCAACAGAATTTTCTATTGTTGCATTGAAATTGCAATAAGATAAATATATGTAAAAAATCATCACCTAACTAAAATCATAATTGGTCTTGAAGAAGCTTGGTGTACTGAATAAATCAAGACTGTATTTAACTCCGCCTGCAACTTCATAAGGCGCAAGTTCGGCCAGAATCATGTGGAATAATATCTCATCACTTTGTAGAGGCACCCCAGTACCAGCTTCTCCCTCTGAACCGCATTCAACGAAGAGCGACTAGAATTCTCGATTGCCAGCTTTATAAATTTATCGAACAATACAAAGAAAAATTTGTGAGGGGGTTTATGAAAAGGAAACAGCCAGTACTGTAGCTAAATATACTAGCTACATTGCACTCCTCATAATTCAAAGTTTATCGGCTTTTAGAATGAGGAGAAACATGAAAGAGCGTCTGTTTTAGACTGTCTCACGACACAGGCTTACTTTGAACGATGAGCCAAGGAAAAAACTCGGAAATAAAGGAATGTGTCATTTTCAATGGCAATTAGAACTAAAACCAGTGATCGTGCAATGGCTTTCTTACCTGCTTACTCTCACGCTAGTCTATCTGTCTTTCGCTTTTATGGTGACCATATAAAATGCCTATCGAATGAGTTTTTGTTTTTCATTTTTTTAAGGTTTTTTTTATAGTTAGTCAGTCATCGTCTACAAGACTAAATGTTTTGTAGAGAAGACAAACTTTAAATTTAAAATTTATTCACACAAAACGTAACGTATTCTTTTAATGTACAGGTAATTTAAACATTTCATTTCTGAACTATGTTTTGCACTTTTGTTTTAGTTTAATGAATAAAATTGGAATACTGGGTAGTTTGAATTTGATTACCAATCTATCGCCATGAAATTACAATCGTAGTCCTCTTCTTTTGGACCAGACGTCAGTAGGCGATTCGGAGAAAATAAAGGCCGTCAAGCGATACATATTGACATACCAATGATTACATCATTCGATTTGGTGTTATCTAGTGCGAATGACATATGTACATAATTTATATCACCGTAAGCAGACATCTTTAACAGCCCAGCACCACACTATGATTATGAAATGAAGCCATCGTTCAATTTTGTTTGTATGTGTATTAGCAGTGGGTAGAAAATGAATGTATTTGCTCATGACCTTTTTTGTACTGCTCATAATGGTTTTATTTAAATTCAAAGTGTCTGTTTGAGCATCTTGCGTTATTTTCTATTTTATTTTTATTTAGTTAAGTTTTTAAAGTGATTTTAGTTTAAAATAAACAGCGCTGACTTGAATACTTTTACAATCTTTTCATCAAATGAACAGCTGGTGTCACAATTTATTTGATTAGTGAAATCATACTACCACCAATGGTCTGTATACTATCTACATTAATAATACTTGTAACGTGTTTTTGTTTTACTGATGTATACATATAGATGACAGATGACATGATAACATACAATAGAATTCAGGTTTGAAGCAAAAAAAGAGCATAGGTAATATAATACACGTTATTATAAGTAAGAATAGTATAAGTTACCTGTGCTCTACTGATGACATCGTGTGGTCCTCGCCAAGTGGTGGCTGCAGGTGACTTCCTCTTGGCTAGTTCTAGCGTAGCTTCACTTGGACATCGTTCAAACATAAGAACACGTTCAGCGACAGAGCCACGTGTGAGGAAGGGTCGCACAGGCGCCGTTCCTGACGCGGAGGCGGGTTCACCGGCACCGGCGCTCGACGCACGCCGAGCTCGCGCTTCAAATTTTGAGCGCGCCTCAGTCACATGCGAGCCCAGAGAAGCCCGGCGCTCACCGCTGGCGCCAGCGGCTGGCTTCCGAGCGCCGGTATCCAGCCTGTCCTGGTATCTACTCTTAGCGTAATCTACTAACGAAAGCGGAGGCACTACATCTGGACGCTCGGCTGTGCGTTCAGCTACCACGCCTCCTGTGCGCAGCGCCCGAAGCAGCCGCTCCTCCTCGCGAGCGACCTCGAGCCGCATGGCGGCAGGGTCGGCGCGTCGCGCGCCTGCGCCCGCGCCAGTGCCATTCCGCTCTGGTACCAGATCTGGAGGCAGAGTCACCTCTATCGTCTCGCCCTCAGGCTCTATTCTATCGTGACGTTGGTCTATTCTCTGCTCTCTGCGAATGTCCGCTCTCTGATCTCTGCCGACATCCGGCCGATAATCTCGTCTGATATCCGGTCTTTGTTTTATTTCTGGTTTTGGTTCAGGTCTAGGTTTAGTTCGAAGGCTTTCTGCCAATTTTATACCGGGCGTAGGCCTACACGACAGTATCTCAGTGGGCGCGAGGCCGCGTGCCTTCCAAGTTTGATATATAGCTTCGGCGTGATCCGAAATCTGTTTGGCTATAGCAGCAATGTCTTCCTCACCCGTGTCTATCTCGCGGCGGGCAGTGGCCGCCATGGCCGTGCTACTCGCCGCTGCGTCCTGAGCAGTGGTTCGGAGACACACCGTACCGGTAGTTCTAGGGCCACACTCGTAACCCCATCTACACTCACAAGTCACACAAATCACCACTTGGATGTACACTGATAGAAACAATATCACTAAAACGGCACTGCGGTAATACGCGATGCAGCACTCTACTGAACAGCTGTACGGGAGAGCGCGTCCAACAATAAACAAAGGCGACGATCGCGTGTTACAATGCGGCGTGCGACATACGGCGACAGACAACAAGCCTCAAGCGGGCGCTCGCGCGGACTGCGGCGCGACACCCGTGCGGACCGCGCGCTCTCCCCGGCCCCGCACTCTTTGCGTCGCTCCTGGTTCCCGTTCCCTTCAGTCTACACGGCTACAGACAGACGTCCTCTTTGCTCATTCACTGACACTAACAAACATTTACAATATCTGTTTACACAATACAGCTTCCTGTGACCTAGCTGAAAACAGAGATGAACAACTGTTGAACAATGTATCTATCATGAAAAACCATATTGTTCACTTGAGTAGATGAAACTGAATAAGGACCTTGTGAATTTAACTAGAACAAGAACGAACTGTACTTTTCAAAGACGATTCAGTTAACTTTTAGTTGTGCGGAATAAAAAGTGGTGGAGTTTTAGTGGTGGGCTGCACTGAGAAATAAAAAATTAATTCTTCCATTCAAAACGGTATTATCTAAACAGGTAGTTTTAGTTAGGAAACGATGACACTCGATAAACCTATACTTATGGCTGCAGGAAAAATACCTATTGCTTTAAAAAAATTGTAGGTAAATGAAAATAAATATACGTAAATAGCTATACCCAGCTACGCTTCGCTGTGGCACATTGTGGTTGAGAAATGACGCAAAAATTTACAAAAACAACAATCTTTGAAGCGAATTGTATATCGTGTCAAAATTTGAGCTCAATCGCAGCAAAACTTTTTGAGTTTTTGAAGCGTACACAAACCAACGAAACTTTTATATATATATACCTAGATAGTGGACGTTTTAGTACTTTAGCTTACGTTACAAACATGTGTAAATGTTAGAAAACCTGGAATATGCATTAGGTTATGTCTGATCGTATGACTACAACATGTGAATTATATTTTCTAATCTGTGGCGCGGACGGCAGCGTGTCGCGCACGCGCGTCCTGCTACAAATAGCGCGCGACATGTATTTTAATTTATTTACATGTTCTCCCTAGTTTTATTTTTTTATCTTTCCCGAAAGGCATATCCGTCGCCAACTGTTACTAAGGATTAAACGGTGCATCATCAGACATGAAAACACAAATATCTTATACAGGTACAGTAGGTAATGTATTGTTGAAACAAGAAGGAGAATCGTGTTAACAACATCCTCGTAAATAAAAAAAGGAAAATTACGTGAAATTGTCTAATCAAGAAATCACCAAGATCATAGATCCGGTATGATTCTGACATAAAAGACTTCACCACTTGTTTCTGTGAAAAATTGCTTGTGGGGAGAGGAACCCACAATTTAAAAAAATCTAATTTACACCCCCTAAAAACTACAGTAGTTATACTACTAATTATTTTTCGAAATAAAAATTTATCGGCTTCAATGCTCTTAATTTGTAATAAATATAATAAAAGGTAATTTATTCATTACCTAGTTGTATTTGCTAACTTCATTACCTAATTGTTTATTTTAATTACCCTTAGACGTGTCAATACTTATTTTATTTGAATTTGAATAGGACCAATCTTGATTCAATCTCAAAAACCAATGCAATAAAAGAAAACAATAATTAAAATCGATTCACAATGACAAAAGACTTGTATTGTTTGACTATTCTGTTTTTTCTTAGTCCCAATCAGTTTTTAGTCAGACTCGATTATTAAATCTAATACTATCTAATCTAATACAAGTCAAAATAGTTGTCCATGCTGACCATATCCATATGGTTTAACCAAATTACAACTCGTAACAAACTGCGTTCCTCTTTATATCAAATAATTAACTATTAATCAAAGAACGTGACTAGCAACTATCGATTTAATGTAGGATATCAACAACTTTTACAGCAGATCTAAATTAAGACAAGACTTATAAATATGATAATTTTAAACAATGATATCATCTAAACTGGAAAATGAAAGAATTCGATTTTCGATGACGAGTAGATTCATTCGATATGATAATTGGCAAACCAACGCCTTCAATCTTAATACTTTTCACGTAACCACATGTTATAAACATAGAAATCGTAATAATAAGACACTAGAAGTCGCATAGACGCTTGACCTTATCGCCGCAATGATGTGTAGACGAACACCACTTACAGAAATTCACAACATTCGTAAAATATGTAGTTGCACGGAGCGTCGTATGTGAATTAATATTGTTTAAATGGTGAACTGCAGCATAATAGGTTGTACTCGTAAAAACGCATCAGGGACTTGTAATTCAACTGATAAAGGCATAACATTGCACGGGTAAGTTTATTTTTTACCAATAAATCATTGTTTTTACTAATTTACATCTCGATGAATCCTTTAATTAGATATCTATATCCTATAAATACAATTTAATTATTTGTTTAAATTTGCGTATTAAAATATGTAAATGTTTAGCACACTGATAAATGTAAATAAAATGTTATCTTTTAAGAAGTATAAATAATTATATTACTATTTTTTATCACATAAATATAACAATTTTTTAGATTCCCGAAAGATCCTGATGTTAAAGAAAACATTTTAGTCTTCATTTTACGGGTCAATAAACTCATTTTGTAGAGTTGCTGATAACATCAACTACTAGAGATACTTACTTATACTCGCATAGTTAACTATATTTTCAAACATAGTGTTAGAAATAAGGGCATAACACAGTTGACAACTATGTAAATATAAAAAAAGGAAACTGCTCTGTTTATTACTTACACTTAATTTCAAAATCCTATCACTAGAATATGCTATCACTAGTTGTTGGGTTAGGGTTTAGGTCGGGTTGCCGACGTCACGGTGCCATCATTGTGATGACTGCCCTGACGACCTTGAGCCAGCCAGCGTGCAGCGCCAGCGCGGCAGTCAGTTCTGCGGGTAGAGTCTCGCTTCCGACCTTGGTTTTGTCCTGCGAACATGTGATGCCCACAAAGGAAGCGGCAGGAAAAGAGAGAAAACTCAGCACCGCTGTCTCTACCCGCAGAAGGCGCACCGGGCGCCGGAGGGCATTCGTCGATTTCCGGCCACCTTAGGAAGTGGCCTGCGGGCGACGACGATTTTGAGGAATTCGTCGTCCGAACAGATACAGGCCCGAGAGGCAGCGCACAGTTTTCCGTGTGCGCTTCTGGAGGTGGTTCTTAAATGTGCGTCCACATAGTGATTTGTTTGAGAAATAAACTATATTTAAAATAAAAAGTATATTTATATGTGAAGTCATGTCACACACGTGACAACGCATCACTTAGTCAATGCGAGCAGCATATAGAGCCGTTCCACATGACAGAATCTGTTTACCATAGAGCTTCTCAAGTATCATTTTATAAATTTATATTTTCAGCAGGACTGATTCCACCTGAAACCTAGATGTTTTTAAATTATTGTAAAAACATTCTAATCTTATTCAAAATATTTTCCTTATTCAAAATGAAATGTAAGTCTACCTAATTAAAAGTAAATGAACTGATAATACGCAACATACAGTTTCTGTCAATATCGTTCAATTTCTATTTATTTTAGAAATTCATTTGACTTGACCCAGAAGATAGCAGTAGGCGATTGCCTTACCGCTCACCTGTAGAATAATAGCCACCTGTAATCCGACGTCATGACACTTAATTAGATCAACTTCCAAAGCAAAGCATATGTTTATAACAAACACGATCAGTTTGATTTCGGTACTAAATTTACTCAAAGATCACGGTTCTTAGAACTCGGTTATTAAACACGGCTTATAATAATATGTTCATTGCTTAATACAGCACTATAGTTATATAACTATTTACCCTTACTATATCAGTTTGTTATATCAGATCTGTTCACGATTAACTTGGTTTAGTTCAAACTGCTCATCATCTCACATGAACCGAGGGTGTCGGACTCGAACCGACTATAACCACACCATATTTCACTTGAATCTATTATATGAGATCCAGTATACCCTAAAAGGAATCCTTCAGAACTTGCTGCAATGTTAAGCCGCACGATCAGTCCGGATACTATCTGTAGTACGAAATCTATCTGCACGCTTGACACAATAGATATACATACCTACATATCTTTACTGTCAGGCGTGCGAAGTCCTCCAGCCTATCAGTGTTGAAAGTCTTTTACTAAAGACTATGTTGCGAACTATATATTACCGCATTGAGAGAACGAAACAAAAATGCTCTACAGCTTCCATGTAGGTGCCTGAAAGAATATGTGGCGCGACAGTTCCATGCTGGCATTTCGAAACTGAACGAGGACACAGTTCTAATTCACTACTGCGAAACTATGTGTCATCGTTGTTTCTGTTTCTTCCTTAGTCGGTTGTTGTGACGTCTTTATTGAAAATAGTTGCATCTATTTGACGTAGTGATTCAACTGCACTTTTGGGGGGGCTTGCTTACATTACTCCTTCTGATTTGAACATGCAAAACTAATTGATTGACGTCTTATTGTTATTACATGCACCGATTCGACTGAAAGCGCATAACGGTAATATTTTGAATTACTTATAAAATTATATCGTACAGAAAGACCCGATAACGATTGTCATCACCAATACTACTCGTAGGTAGAAAGTGAAGAATACCGAGAATTCCCGTAAGAAATGATTTAAGACTATTCCCGGGCGTAATCCTTGGCTGCCATATTCTTTACAATGAATAAATCATAACGTTCATTCATAAATGTTTTTTTTTTTTTTTTTTTTTTTTTTTTTTTTTTTTTTTTTTTTTTTTTTTTTTTTTTTTTTTTGAGATTCCAACGCGGATCGCAATGTTCTATTGTTTTTCACAAGTACCCACATCGGTTTATAATGAGCGAAAAAAGTATAAGTTTAACTAGTTTGCCTAAAAGTAACTGCAGTGAAGATGAAGTTGAGATGATACAACAAGACAAAGAAATGTTAAATATGGTGCAAGTTGAGGTGCAGCGAAGCAAAAGGATTAGATATGAAAGTGATGGATGTGAAGGTTACGAAGATGATGAAGGCTTCGTAACAATAAATAGAAGACCTAAGAGATTTCTACGTAATTTATCTAAAGATGAAAGTACGCAAAATCAAAGTCCAAAAGAAAGTACCCACAAATATGAAGTATGTGTCACGTCTAAGGAGCCACTACCTAAACAAATTGCCTTAGCAAAGCTGTTGAAACAACATAATATTGGAGATATCCAAAGAATTAAATATAAAAATCGTTTCAAGGTATTAGTTTTATTTGATTGTCTAGAAAAGGCTGATGTTTTAATAAACTGTAAAGAAATGCATGATGCGGGACTACATTGCCAGATGACCTTTGAATTAAGCCTATGCTATGGCGTAGTCAAGCAGATGGACTTGGAGTTTGATG